TATATATATATATATAGGGTGTTGTAGGTATAATAATTAATATTTATGCCACAGATTCTTACGGACATTTGGAACATGTTATAACACTTTTCACTTTTGGAACAAAATAAAAATTATAAAATTATAACAGTTTTGATACTGGCCCTGCATAATTGCAAAGAAAAATTCACCTTCAGTAGTTCGGAATCAGTTGCTTTTTGTTATTTTGTCATTGTTTATGTTTATTAAGAAAATTCCCTGGCGTTAAGGTCCATTAGATGACAGTGAAAATGTTAGAAAAACTACATATCTATCACAACGAAAATTGTGCTCCAATGTGTAAACGAAAAATCATTGTTTATCAACAAATATGGATTGACATTGACATTGATAAAGTGTTCCACAAAAGTGGATGGAAATGAATGATTTCTATTGACAAGATGTACATTTTTGCCTACAACTTCAGTTTTCACTAAAAAGTCTGTAAAAAAACGATTAATTGCGTACATGAACAGGCTTGTAAAGTAAGTGATAACGTAGGCTCCCGTAACCCCATGAACATACAACTGAAGTATACCTAATGTAGCCCATGACAACGAGTATTGTTATTTTAAACAGAAAATATATTATAACGATTACGACAGCGTTTGGTAAAGATTTGTAACATAACGTACTAGTTTACGAAAACAAATGTATGTGATTTGGTTGTATCAGTTGATATAAGATTTAACCAATCACATGCGTTAAATTGCTCATTCCGGCATTAGTTTTGCCTGCCAGGGCTCATTAACGCCAGGGGGAGTAATACAAGGATGTGTCCAGAAGGTTATTTTGTTTTATTTAAATGTAAAAAGCTAAACAACACGGACGCTACTACTGCCACCTTCCCGTTGAGCTACGATGTAAATGGTGCAATAGGAGATTTAAGACCAAGACCGGCCTTACTCAACATTTTCGCTTGCACCGAGTACGAAGCCGAGGTTGAAGAGTCCGACCGCAGAAAGGAGCGCCGATTCTCAACCCTCGAAATATACCACATCGATCTTGAAGAACTACGCTTTCCGGGTCTAGTTTCACACTTGCACAGGCATCTCTCTGAGAAGCTCAACCACGACGTAACCGCCATGGAAACCCTCAGGAGTAGAACCCGGGAAGAACCCTTCCGAGCTTGCAGCTCTCGTACTCTCCATCTCAATAACACCCACTACCCCGCAGTCTGACACTTTCATCCAGTGTGCCCTCAAAGACCTTCAGGCCCCTGTTAGGACCATGGATAATAGCCCATCGCAGCCAAGCTCATCGCCTCCCCTCCCCGACGACAATACATCCACCCAGGCCGTAGACGATCCAATAGTAAAATACCTACGGCTGCTACTGTCCGACGAGTCCATCGCCGCAGGGGACATCTCCCTGCTATAACCCTTCCTCCATTCGAACACCAATGCGGAAACCATTCTGGAGGAATTTCTTCTCCGCATGCGTAATGAAGAGAGGACAACAACCAGCCGTGTGACGATTCCCCAACCCCGAAGGCTCCCGCTCATTAACCTTCTAAGCGACGGGCCAGAATCACCCGCTACGGACTCGCCCAGGAGCTCTACAAAACCAATAGAGCCATGCTTGCCCAAATCATTGACGATCTTGACCTTGAGCAGCTACCGACCACCCCCCCTCCAGATGATCTTTACAGGGCTTACTTGCGGATCTTTGTCACACCCAACATCAGTAAGGGCCTTCCTAGGTTGTGTGATGTCAAACGTCTATCATACAATCTTCTCCATCACCTCGTCACCGAAGAGGACATCCGTAATCAACTACGGACCAGGATATTTGATTCCGCTGGATCTGATGGTATGCGCCTGCGCGACGTCAACCATATACCCACTCGACGTCTGGCTACCCTATTCAACTTTACGTTGCTTACGGGAGCCTCTCCCTCCACCCTGCCGGTGTCAATACCACCGAGTTCGCATCGAGCAGCCGAACCGATCGGTTGTGCGATGTCCGAGAGCCAGCGCAGTGCCACGCCCATCGGGCCGAATGAACACGAACGAGTTCGGTCGAATTCGTTCGTCAGTTGTGCAAGTGAAGCGAGTGTGATGGAGTGCAGCTCCGAGTCCGGAAAACGCAAGAAAACTACTCCATGGTGCGACGACGAGCCTGAGTGCCTTAGTGCCGCGGAAAACAAAAAAATGAGACGCAGAGACAGCGGAGAGACGTGTCGAACTTATGGTAAGTATCCTGAAGATACTATGTCCGCTAATGCGAGGCGTCTTTTTAAGATTATTCGGGAGTTGGTACCTTTGAAGGCGGAGACCATTAAAGTTGCTGACCGACGGACAATTCGGGATACGGCGGACCAGCTGATGGAGGAGCTCGTCCAAATGGCAGGAGTTGTGAAGGAACTTCGCCATACCATCGAAAGGAAAGACGCGGAAGTGAAAGAGGTCAAGGAAAACTCCGCCAAAACTGTAAGTACACCTTGTTTTTCTTACGCGGATAAGCTTAGATCAGGGAAAAACGTAGTTAACAACAATAGGGTCAGCGAAAATTCATTTCCGGTTAGAATAGAATCTAAAAAAGTAGGGAAAGATGCCGAATATGTTAGGAAGGTTGTTATGCGTTCGGTAGACCCGATAAAAAATAATACCGCGGTCAAAAATGTTACGGCCACGAAATCTGGCGTGCTAGTGGTTGACTGTGCAAGGAAAGAAGACGCCGAAAAAATTAAAAAGTCGTTGCTTATCAAAGCAAAAGACGATGTCGCGGTCAGGGATATCAAAAAACGGTGGCCGCGAGTAAGGATAGACAGGGTAAACAAAGATTTAAACGCGGAGGATTTACATGAAACGATATTAGGGCATAATGATTTTATAGATAGTCTTTATGGTAACGACGTAAACAAGTTTAAAGCCGATTTTAGACAACTTGCTGTTTTTGAATCGCGTAACAGTAGGAATAGTTACAGCGCAATCTTCGAAATTAATCCCGTATTGAGACAGAAAATGTTAGATAGGCCAATTTATCTAAATTGGCAGCGCGTTTTTATTAGGGACCATTTTTCATTATTACAGTGTTTCCAATGTTACGAATTTGGGCACTTATCCAAGAATTGCAAAGTTAAAGAGCAAATCTGCGGAAAATGTGGCGGTAAACACAGTTTTAAGGACTGTAAATCCAAAACTACCTCGTGTGTAGTTTGTGTCAGGTCAAACAAGGACAAAAAACACGCGCCCGTCAGTACAGACCACGACACCAAAAGTCAGTCTTGCCCGACGATGAATAGAATTAAAAACTCTATTCTATCAAACATAGATTTTTATGGTAATTAAAAACCATAAAAATAACCCCGACGCGGATTTCGTTTTAAATTTCGGCCAAATTAATTTAGGTAAGGGCAAGGCGGCTACTAGCAATCTCTTGAAGGTTATTTTAGATCAAAAATTAGATATTTGTTTAGTACAAGAACCTACGGTCAATAGATCGAAAGTAGTTGGTTTTTCAAAACGTAACATGGTGATTTATAAATCGTGTAATATTCCTAAAGTAGCTGTTGTTGTAAATAATTCAAATAGTTCTTGTTTATTTTTAGAAAGTGTTTCTTGGGATAATATAATTGCTGTTGAAATTACCGTAAATACCATAACGATAGTTCTTGTTAATGTCTATTTACCACCCGCGGGGTCGAACGTCGACGAGAACAAGTTTCTCGAACGCCTTAATGACGTATTCTCAGAACTCGACCAAACAAGACCTATTGTTATGGCAGGTGATTTTAATGCGAAAAATTATGTTTGGGGCAGTCCGATAAATGACAATAGAGGTAATAATATTTTGGAAACATTTGAAATTAATGACTTTATCGTATTAAATAATAATGTCGAACCCACTTTTGTTGGACATCGCGGGTCAAGTTTTGTTGATATAACGTTAGCAAATTTTAATGCATTAAATTTAATAAAAAATTGGCATTTATCAGACGAAGAAACACTTTCTGACCACAAATTAATCACGTGGCAGGTTTCGTTTGACAAAAACGAAACCAATATCGTTGACCGTAGGTTTTGTAATAAAAAAGCAAATTGGCAAACCTTTTCGGACAGTTTTAGGGATAGCATAGGAAATATAGTACTAATCGACGAAAATGACATTTCAGAACGCGCAAACTTTTTAAATGACTGCATAGTTACAGCGTGCGAGGCTTCTATGCCACTTAAAAAACATTTCGCAAAAAGTGTACCGTGGTGGACCAAACAACTTACCGAAAAAAGGTCCCAATCGCGGAAAACTAGACGTTCTTTTCAGCGCGAAAAAAATCAAGCGGCACGAGATAGTAAGCGCGCGGAATACAACCGTGTGTTCCGTGAATATAAGGAGCTTTTAGAAAAAACTAGGGCAAATAAATTTAGGGAATTTTGTACGAGGGACTCTGAAAAGGACCCGTGGGGAACAGCATACAAGGTCATCCGCGGAAAAAACACAAATAGGTCTTCAATTCAAAATTTAAAATTGCCCGACGGCACGTACACAAAAAGCACAAGGGACACCGCGGAGTTTATTTTAGATTCTTTTTTCCCGTCGGACGATCGCGGCACGGATAGCGAATCGCATCAGCGAGTTCGCACGGCCGCACAAAATTTAATTGATAACGACCCATTTTTTAAGGATATTACGTTTGCGGAAATTGAACGCGCCGCAAGCAGGATGAACCCGCGGAAAGCACCGGGACTCGACGGGATAACTTCCGACGCAGCCCTGGTAGCATTTCAGACCACACCGGACGTTTTTATAAAAATTTTTAACGATTGTTTTAAGAAGGGCATTTTTCCAGCCTGCTGGAAAAAACAGTCCGTAAAAATAATTCCAAAACCGGGTCAAAGGAATTTTAGTGAGGTAAAAAGTTTTAGGCCTATTACTTTACTACCGATAGTTGGCAAAATTTTAGATAGGATATTCACTACGCGTTTACAATTTGAAATTGGCAAAAATGGCGGATTAAATAAAAATCAATATGGGTTCGTTCCCGGACGGTCCACCACAGACGCTGTAAATGCAGTCATAAAAGTATAAAAAACTCTCGCGATAACGATAACTACGTCGCTGCTATTGCAGTAGACATTTCAGAAGCCTTTGACAAGGCTTGGTGGCCGCGTATAATTTTGGAATTAAAAAAGCGTAATATTTCAGGGACTTTAGTTAATTTATTGCAAAATTATTTCAGTAACAGAACAGCTGTTGTCGCAATTTCCGGTACTGCTATTGTAAAGGATGTTGANAAAGTGTACCGTGGTGGACCAAACAACTTACCGAAAAAAGGTCCCAATCGCGGAAAATTAGACGTTCTTTTCAGCGCGAAAAAAATCAAGCGGCACGAGAGATCAAGCGCGCGGAATATAACCGTGTGTTCCGCGAATACAGGGAACTTTTAGAAAAAACTAGGACAAATAAATTTAGGGAATTTTGTACGAGGAACTCTGAAAAGGACCCGTGGGGAACCGCATATAAAGTCATCCGCGGAAAAAACAGGTCTTCAATCCAAAATTTAAAGTTGCCCGACGGCACGTACACAAAAAACACAAGGGACACCGCGGAGTTTATTTTAGATTCCTTTTTCCCGTCGGACGACCGCGGCACGGATAGTGAATCGCATCAGCGAGTTCGCACGGCCGCACAAAATTTAATTGATAACGACCCATTTTTTAAGGACATTACGTACGCGGAAATTGAACGCGCCGCAAGCAGGATGAACCCGCGGAAAGCACCGGGACTCGACGGGATAACTTCCGACGCAGCCCTGGTAGCATTTCAGACCACACCGGACGTTTTTATAAAAATTTTTAACGATTGTTTTAAGAAGGGCATTTTTCCAGCCTGCTGGAAAAAACAGTCCGTAAAAATTATTCCAAAACCGGGTCAAAGGAATTTTAGCGAGGTAAAAAGTTTTAGGCC